TCGCTCTTGCTCAGGCTGGTTTCGAACTCCTGAGCTCAAACAATCCGCCCGCCTCGGCCTCCCAGAGAGCTAGGATTACAGGCGTGAGCCACTGCGCCCAGCCAAAATGACACTGTTTTGTGTGGCATTGGTTGAGCAGCGCTTGTCCCAGGACTGCTGTAGCACATGATATTTTGTGGTCCTAGTTTTTGCTATTTCCTCCTTGGAAAACAGAAGATTCCTACAGGTACCCTGCCTTTTACATCTTTCATGCCCTCACTGCCAGTGCTGGGCACCCACCATCTGCATGAATCCATTGAGTACCTGTCGAGATACCCTCCTGGATACTAGAGCTCAGACCCAATGCCTCAGAACTATTTTTGGATGGACAGACTTTGCCACACTGTGCCTAACACTCTAATAGAGCACCTGCCACCACCGGAACCAGGCCCCCACGGCTCCTAGTGCACTTTGCATACTTCTGAGGGTTTAATACAGACCCTTAACAGGGCACGAACTTCTTACTCTCACCCATCATGGGACCTTATTAAAGTAACTGAGCAAGGGAAATTGGTAGATTCAACAGGTTCAGCATCTGATATCCGACCTACATCCTGCTGATACTTAATAGGATTAAACGCTTAAAACAAACCAGGTGAAAAGGATCCATTAAATTTCCACCTTGCACTGTCAGGTCTCACTCAGCGAATGGTGCTCCAGAAGAAAGCCCAATTCTCTCAAGTTCTTTGATTCAATTAAAAGTTGTCAAGACATCTCTCTTTCCCTTTCTTTTTTAGCAGTGCTGACAAAGAAATACAAAATCTACAATTTTTTTTTAGTTCAAATCTTGTGGCAGTGACAGCTTTACTGTCAATGGAAGAAAAAAAAAGCCTCTATTTTAATTACAGTATTATAAATTCAAAACCCTAAATAACTGATAGAGAGTTTTCACTTAAAATGATGAAAGCTATAAAAGGAGCTAATCTATTAATGCCGTGTATTATTAGGTATTTCAATTTCAATATTTTTAAGATTATGCTAATACAGAAGGAAGAAATGAAAAGCTTGTCCCTGAGAAGTAATAGATAAACTGAAAAAACTTAAATGAGACCAAGATATGAAGGACGGGAATACAAGAGGGAAAAGCCCTGCTCCGCCCCTCCAAACCATGCTCAGCACGATCTCTCACAGTCATGCTGACATTTAATATTTAACATTTGCTGAGCATGTACAACTTGACAGAGGGAACAGGTATCAAATGTGAAGACTAAGGATGCTACGGATTAAAAACTTCCTCAACACTTAGGGAAAGGAGGAGCGGCAAGTGAAGGGAGATGCCCGATTCAAGGAGACACTACATATGTAATCAAGGCTTCAAACAAGACTTGAAGTTTTCTGTTAAAATTAAGCTTCAGCATAATGTATAAAAAGCATATGCAACATTTTTGCTGCTTCTGTGATTTCATTAATATCAATGAGATTCCAAAAACTCCCCACAGTCAGAGCAGGCCAGATGCAAAAAAGGAATTAATGAAAACACGGCGAATTCTTAGCTCGGGGATGAATCGAGTTCCATTGCTTGACTACCACCTTCCTTTGATTTGATTGTTAGTGCTGCTAACCCGGCCACCTGTCACTATGCACGACAAAGGAGACTGATAATCACATCGAGGTCCACGTCTCTCAACATGTAACCCTCAGTAAAAGCACTGGCTTTCTTGTAGGACAGACTCAAGGGCTCCATGACCTTGGGCAAGTCACATAACCCTTTGGACCTCCGTTTCCTTAATTGTAAATGGATAATGATGACTGCCTCACAGCTTTACAGGAATGAACTTCTGTCAAGCACTAAGTGCTATCCTGGACTCTTTAGAAAGCACTCAGCAAGCAGTGGCTACAATTATCACCATGTCATTGCTACCTGAGTAAGCCATGGCTGATGTCCCTCAGCAGCAGGGAATGGCCTTTCACACATGCTGACAGACAGGAAGCCCTGTCTGGCCTCCTGCTCTGGCACTGTGTAGAATCTGTGCACCAAGGGCTGAATTAGGCCATGGACCCCCAATGGCATGTCTGTGGGGTTAGAGAGGACATGGGATCGGGCTCAGGCAGGCCTGGGTTTACCTTTCAGCTTGCTTCTTACCAGCCACGTGGACCTGCACACTTTCTCAACCTCAGAGCCAGGCATCTGCTTCACTAAAATAAGGACAAGTCCCTACCTCAGGGCTATTTGGAAACTAAATGAAATAAGGAGAGGACAGGTTCCTACTACAGCGTCTAGCATGTAGTAGGCTCTCAACATGAGTTAACTTCCTGTTTCCTTTGCTTCTTATATAATTCCACTTATGAGAAAAATCCAGGTTGCCTGGGGGTTTTGCTAGGAACGGTGAAAACTCCGCTACTGAAAATTATATGTAGGAGTAGGCCTCTGTGCAAATTTAAATGCACATTTTAAATACTGAGGCTACTTTAACACATCAGGAAACTCTCTAAACCATGGAGGAGAGAGAAGATTACCAAAATAGACTAACCATCTTTAACAAGGAGACTCCCCCCAGCCACCCCACGCCTTATGCTACCCAAGCCAGGGCTTTTTAGGATTCCTCAAATTAAATTAAATTGATCCTAAAAATATCTGATCTGGTGGAAGACGACAAGGGCTTTGCCACCAAGTGACGTCTTCCTGTAATTTCTCCCCCAAAATAGAAGTTTCTAGAGCACTTAAAGAGTACACAACCCCAGAACTTCAGTATGATCCAATACAAACCTGCTGGAGAAAGGTCTTTCTTCATTCTTTTTAATTTCTTGGCCTTTTTCCTTCCTTCTGAGAGGGATTCTGCACAGGAATCTGTCTGCTCAAGCTCCGTGTCAGAAATCTCCCCTGATATTCTGTCCTCCAGGCCAGCTTCTTCTTGAGTCGGACTCAAATTTCTCTTTTCTCCTGCACTGGTGGCTGTAAAACTGAAATGCAAAGTGGAACAACATGAAAGGTGTTGAGAGTAACAGGAAGACTAGTCTATAAAAATATTTTAATGCTCTTGATTCTATTAACACTTGACTAGCAATCATCAACACGGGCAGCTGCTGCCTGTGTGTAAAAATTAAAGACCTTCTTATGAACTGAAGTCTGAAAGCTTACCTATGACAAGCTTATTCAGAAGAAAGTTCTAAATTATGCTTGTATACAGATATACACAAATATAAACTGTTCTTAGTGCTTAACAACAAATTTGTAAAGAAAATTCCTGGTCTCTATTTTGATAAAGCTATTGTAAGAGAATAGCAGAACACAGTAGGAGAGCTACTATAACAAATAATAGTTTTGATTACATTAAATCAAAAGGTGGCATTAGTGCCTTCATGACTGCCTAATGGATAACAGCAGCCTGCAGAATTCTTGAATCAGCTGGCTATCACACTGCTCCAAACTTGAATATAGTTATAGAGCCACGGTCCCTAACCTGTTTGGCACCAGGGACTGGTTTCATGGAAGACAATCTTTCCATGGATGGGGGCGGTGGTTGGTTTCAGGATGATTCAAGTACATTACAGTTATTGTGCAGTCAAACCTCTTCGCTAATGATAATCTGTATTTGCAGCCACTCCCCAGGGCTAGTATCACCGCCTCAGCTCCACCTCAGATCATCAGGCATTAGATTCTCATAAGGAGCTGCAACCTAGATCCCTCGCATGCGCAGTTTACAGTGGGGTTCGTGCTCCTATGAGAATCTAATGCCGCTGCTGATCTGACAGGAGGTGGAGCTTATTCGGTGATGCGAGTGATGGGGGGCAGCTGTAAATACAGATGAAGCTTTGCTCGCCTGGTTCCTAACAGGCCACTGACCACTACAGGTCCACAGCCTGGGGATTGGGGGCTGCAGTCATAGAGTATACCCACCTTCATGTAATTCTCTTCTTCTCCAAAAATGGGACTTGCTAAAAATTTATAATTAAACCTAGTTTCATTTTTAAAGCTTTATAGGATTTGGTATGCTGAATTAAATCACATTGTGTGTCCTGATTTTTCCTCGAGAAAATAGGTTCCTTGAAATATAGCTGGATAAAAAAAGAGTCCATATAGCCAGTGAGTCCTTTCTCCTCTAAATGGGTCTTACAGATTTTTCATAATAGCCCCCAAGTTATGAAAAGCATAAAAACATTCAAGGCATTCCATTTAAGGGAGCCATTCAGGCACAGAGAGGGGGGCGGAGTGAGGGAGAGAGAGAGAGAGAGAACAGACTCCTATCAGCCTACCCTAGGAAGTGAATACTTAAAAATGTTCCATATAAAAACTCTGGCTGCCCAAATATTCAAGTTCCTGCACATTACTCCTCCCCTCACAGCTTTTCTGAATCCAAGAATTGCACTTGCCAGTGCACTCACGTGAATAAGGAGAATAAACTGCTTTCCTGGTGGTTCTCCTAAGGCTGTGGTCCCCGATCCCCAGGCCGCTCATCACCGTCTGAACTGCCCCCACCCCAAGTCCGTGGAAAAACTGTCTTCCACGAAACCGGTCCCTGGTGCCAAAAAGGTTTGGGGATTTTCTAAGGCAAAGGAAGCAGAAGAGAGATTGGAGCACTCTTCCTCTTAAGACTGGCTGCTGGCCTTCCATTTGTCCTCGTAGTCACATCTACTATAGAGCTTTCTGAAACATCTCTGCTTATTGAGGAGCTGTGAGGCAAAGGGAGGATACCAAGGGTAATATTTTGGTGGGACTGTTAAAAATTCATGCTAAAGTTTACTGTTTCAAAACTGATAATACCTTTAAGAAGTTTTGTTTTTTTTTTTTGAGACAGGGTCTTGTTTTGACTCCCAGGCTAGAGCACAGTGGCGTCATCATAGCTCACTGCAACCTAAACTCCTGGGCTCAAGCGATCCTCCTGCCTCAGCCTCTGAAGTAGCTGGGACGACAGGCATGTGCCACCACACCAGGCTAATTTTTCTATTTTTTTTTTTGGTAGAGATGAGGTTTTTGAGACAGAGTCTCACTCTGTCACCCTGGGTAGAGTGCAGTCGCATGATCGTAGCTCACTGCAACCTCCGGCTCCTGGGTTCAAGTGATCCTCTTGCTTCAGCCTCCTGAGTAGCTGGGACTATTGGGTTTTGGCCTTGTTGCCGGGTTATTTTTTTTCTGTTTTTAGTAGAGATGGGGTCTTGCTCTTGCTCACGCTGATCTTAAACTCCTGGCTTCAAGCCATCCTCCTGCCTCGGCCTCATAAAGTGCTGGGATTATAGGCGTGAGCCATCACACCTGGTCTTGACACATTAACTGCCATGTGAGTTGTATTTAACTCATGCTAGTTTTGATCTCAGGGCCTCATGAAGTATATGTAACTCACATGTCTCTTCACCTTGGGGGCCATGAGAACTATTTTTCAAGTTGCATATAACTCATGCACAGAAAACAATAAAAAATAACAAATTTTTCATTAAATTAGAAAGGATCGTTTTGTGTTTGAAGTTTTTATTCTATTTTCGTAATGAAACACTGTGGCCTCGAGGAAAAAATATTTTTTCTAGTGGGACAGTCAATGTGTTAAAAGAACGTTTTTTAAAGACTAGAAAAGGTTTGGCTGATTTCAGAAAGTTTAGAAAATTCAAAGTAAGAAAATGATAGGGACCCATTCTTCCATCACGAAAGGGGAAGAAGCCTAAAAACTCCTCTGTACTGCAACCTCTGGAATCGGGTAGCCTCTGAGACATAACTGTTTAATGAAAACAGCTGGAACTATGGGTGTTAAAAATACTTTGTGAAATACAAAGTCCAGAAATAGCCCCAACTGCATACAGACATCTAGTGTATGATAAAGGTGGAATCTCAAATTATTGGGGCGAAGATGAACTTTTAAAAAATGGTGCTGGGAGAAGTAGAAAAGGATAAAATTAAGCCCATTCCTCATACCATTCAAAAGAATAAATGTCCAGTGGATCAGATATCCAGATGTAAAAAAAAGTAACTTTACAAGTACTAAAAAGAAACTTGGGTGAATTCCAACAAAACCTAGGTGTAGAAAAATGTTTTCTTCCTATGACTCATAACCCAGGCACAATAAGGAATTTATAAATTTACTTTCTAAATGTAAAAATCTTAAACACATGAAAAGATGTTCAATTCAATTCATAACACACAATACTGAAATATCATTTTTCACGCACTAGATTTTTAGATTGGCAAAAATAGCAGAAGCTCAGTGACATACTCCATTAGTAAAATGGGGAAAGGGCCCGTGCTCACATTGCTGGTGGGAAGGCAAAATGGCACGACTTACTCTAATGAGGGGAGTGTGGCAGTGGCTAACAAACTACATGGGCATTTACCCTTTGAGCCAGCAATCCCACTTCTAGGAATTTAGAAAATACACTTCCAACTATACAAAAATGCATACGTACAATTTATTCATTATGCAAAATACCGCAAAGTTCCTCAATGTCTAAGCATAGAAAATTGGTTGAATACACTGCTGCACATACAATCAATAAAGTACCAAGTAGTTAAAAAAGGAATGAAGATCTCAATGCACTGAGAATGACTATGGAATGATTTCCAGTAAAAAATGTACAAAAAACAAATGCAAAATACCAACTTGTGAACCCGTTATTCCCAATCTTGAGTGGGGTGTGGGAGAGAACTGCAAACAAATCCTGAACTCTTTAGTAGTTTTGTTTCTGTAGTAGAACGAGTAAAGCAATTCTGAAAACACTTAGATGTGTCACAGTACTAAGCAAATCAGTAAATGTGTTGATGCTGTTGGAAGACAGACACACAAATATTAGAATAAGGAAAGGGAAGGTAGAACCCTGTAGGGATGGATTGGAATTGGAGATACGGGTTTGCATTTGTGATTTCTAAAATAAGTATGTGCGTATGTGTTCACATTTATGCATACACACATATGTGTGCATGTACACATGCTTATGTGTAAGTGTGTCTATCCATGCTCGTATTTCCTAGCTTTGTTCACTGAAAGGAACTAGAAGCAAAGATGCCCCAGTAGCAATGAGCACATCTAGCACCCAGATCTTAGTTTCTATTACCATACCTCACTAAAAGCAACCAGGTTTCCTCAAAGAAGTGGCTGATTCCAGGATCAAGAGAAGCTACAAAATGAGCCTGAAATATCCGGCAACACCAGAAAGTAACAACCTGCTCAAGAAACGGTACAGGGACATAGGAACTAGCTCGAAAGGGCTCCCACTGGTCAAATCTGGGACAATGTGAACACCAAAATAATTAAGGGGCAGTAATAAATTCTAAACCATTGAAAAAAATTGGAATCCGTGAGTCTACATCAATATATAATGCAAGGGGAGGGGTGAAAGATGGAGGGGGAGATGGGGAGGGGAAGGGAAGCGAAAACTTCTAAGGCTCTCCACCTACAAACCTAAATTTAAACTGCTTGGCACAGCATCCAGGATCCTCTATCATCTGGGTCCCAATCTGCTTTTCTAGCCTTATCTCTCAGTAGGTAGTCAAGCTGCACAGACTACATAGGTTTACCTTAATGAATTCCACCACATGCACTCACCATATGTCCATCACCCTCATCAGAGAGCTCATCAGTCCAAGTACATCCTGTGCTTCCCATTTCAATGTTACTGGTCAGGCTAAGACCCTGCTGCCCATCTCTTCCTGCTCAAACACCACCATCCTCTCAGAAGGTTCCCAGTCCCTGTTTAGAGTTCTTTCCCTTCCATGCTTCCTGTAACACTCTGCTTATCTGTTTCAAGGGGCCTTTAAGTTATTCATCCATATTATTTACAATAAACAAAAACTGGGAACAGTACAAGTATCCACCAACAGGAGAATGGATAAACAAACTGGGCTATATTCATACCATGCTGTAACAAAACAACCAGGGAATTACTGATACATCCAACAACACAGATGAATCTCAAAACCATTCTGCTAAGTGAATGAAGCCTTCATAGAAGAGTATTTCTTAAATCCATTTAGAAAAGGC